CAGGCCCTGCAAGGGGCTCTGAGGTTTCCCTGGATCCTTCCCTTCTCCATGTAATAAATAAATGAACATTCCCAGCTCTCCCAGGCTGGCTCCAGAGCAGAGGAGCTCCAGCCCTCGGAACAGCTCTGTGGCCTCCTCTGGATTTGTTCCAGCAGCTCCACATGCTCCTGATGCTGGACTCCAGGGCTGGAGGCAGCTCTGCAGGTGGGATCTCACCTGGCTGGGGCAGAGGGGCAGAATCTCCCTCTCTCATCCAGGTTTTCCTGCTCCTGGAAGGTCAGTACAGGGTGCATTTTTCCCTCAGAGCAGCTCCCCTGCCAAGCTGGGAGAGCAGGATTGTGTTCCATGTGCTGCCCAGGGAGATGCTGGGGGGTGAACTCTGCCTCCTGGGCTCTGCATTCAGCTTAATCCCATATGGGGTGGTTTTCCCCCAAAAAAACACGTTCAGCAATTCCTGCAGCACGGAGAGGCCTGGCCAGGCATGGAGACTCCTCAGCTGTCCCTGAACAGCTCCAAAACAATCTGGGCTTTGGGTTTGACCTCCTGGCACAACAGGAGAATCCCCAAACAGAACTGATGGGAGTAAGATGAAAATTCCCATTGTATCCTGACATTCCCCACCCAAATCTCTCTCCCACTTGGCTCCCAGCAGTGCCCACATCCACACCCTTCTCCAGGCATCTGGATCCCAGGGAACAGCCAGAGCCAGCCAGGCCAGGAGCTGCTGCCCAGAGCCCTCGTGACTCCCATCCTCCACCAGCCCAAAGGTGCTTTTGGGGCCAAAAAGCTTTCCCAGGAGCCCAGGGCCCCGCTGGCCCCGGCAGCATGCGGAGAACAAGAGGCACTTACCTCATTCGTGCTTCCCTGGGAGAGGCATTGGGAAAGGGGAGACAGAAAGAGAAAGAAACAGCTCTGTGTATCTCAGTGTCCATGGGAGCTCATCCCTGGGGTGTTCCCAGCAGGGCTCATCCCAAACTGGTCCCCTCTTGGAGCCCCTCCCTGCTCTGTCCATCCCTCCTGCACCAGGTCCCAGTCCCATGGGACAGAGCCGCTGGCAGAGTCACCCAGCCCAGCCCCTCCCCTCTGCCACAAATCCTTCCTGGGAGAACTTTCCCTCTGCTTGGAAAGCCACGGGGGCCTGGGGAAGCCAGGAACAGCTCCAAGCACTTTACCCTCTTTATTTTGCCCCAGCTGGAGATGTTGCAAGTGGGCAGCACCTCTGGCTTCCTGCTGCCCGTGTCCTGCCCTTGCTGAACTCCCGCTGCTTCCTGCACTGGGATGGGTTTAAATATCCCAGCACATCCCAAAGGCTCCTGGGGAGTGTCCCTGGGCAAACTGAGCCACTGCAGTGGCTTTACTGGGGATGTTCAGGTGCTGGGGACAGGGCAGCCAGGCTGAATCCCCCGGAACACTGCTCTGCTGAGCAGCACCACTGCCCAGCTCTGCAATGAGGCAACATCAGCAAATGCTGCCTTTATTTCCCCCAGGGCTGCATGGGCAGCTGCAGCAGCACAGGGAAGCAGGGAAATGTCCTTGTTCTCCATGAAAACCTCACTGGTGGAGGAAGAACAGGGAAGGAGAAGGGCCCTTCCTGCCAGAAATCAGAGCTGGGATGGCTCCTGAGGGATGAGCTCGTGCAGCTCTGCTGTGGGAAGAGCAGGAGGGCACTTTTGGCTCTCTGGACACATGGACTGTACCCCTGGAGGGGGTGCAGGGGTCTGGGGGAGTCTGTGGAGGCTGTTCCCTTTTCTGCAGTGGGAAATCAGGGGCTGGTGCCAAAAGAGGCAGAGCCAAGATCTGGGAGAGCCAAAATCCCTGCCCTGAAGCAGGGGAGAGCGATGGCAGCTCCTCCTGAACAGCCACAGCCGTGCACAACCAAGCACAGGATCCTCCCCAGGGGATCCCTGGCATTCCCACAAGGCTCCACACAACCACAAGAAGGAAAGAAAAAGGCAGAACAAAAGAGCTCACTGGGATTTTTCTCAGATCTACACAGCTTGTTTTCCACACTGGACAGGAACTGGAGGCTCAGAGACACAGCTCCAGCCTTGCTCACCTTACAACAAACTCCACAAACTCATCCACAAACAATTCCTCTGCCCCTCCTCTCCCATCTGGAAGGTCTAAGGAATGGATTAAAACTTCAATTAAAACTGAAAAGGCATCCCTGCACTGATCACAGCACAAAGAACCGGATCTAACAACCCTAAAAACCAAAACCATCTCAAAGTGGGGAGGAAAATCCCCAGGAAAACTCAACACTTAAACAAAACCCAGTGGGGTGCAGGAAGGTTGCTTTTCATGCACCGGTTTAAAATCAAAAGCTCTTTATCCTACCTGATCCCACAAGGCTGCAGCCACTTGATCTATTACAGCTCCCAGCTCTCTGTACTCCCCAGAGTATCTGATATAAGCCCAGGTACAGAGTGTGATAAGTGTCAAGCCCAGAATCATGTTGCACAGGCTGGCTATGATGTCCAAGCCAATGAAGCCGGTGACGCCGGCCAGGACGTAGGTGATGAAGATGACGACGAAGAGCGTGGCCGGGGTGCGGGCAGCGTGGAAGATGTTCTTGCTGTCGTTGTGTTTGATGTACTGGATGTAGAGCTCGTCGATTTCAGCCTCCAGCTGCTGCAGGTAGCGGCGGCTGAACTCCTCCCCTCCCATCTTCTTGACGCCGCGGAAAAGCCGCACGGCCTCTTCCTTCAGCTCCGCGTGTTTGGTCTGCAGGTCGCTGGGAGCCAGGAAGGGTTTGTCACCTCCACACACCTGGGTGGGGAACAGGGGGAGAGAGCTGCTGGAATGGCACTGCTGAGACAGGGAAATCAGCCCTAACATGGGGAAATCAGCCCTGTCATGTCACCCTTAAGACAGGGAAATCATCCCTGGAATGGCACTGCTGAGACAGGGAAATCATCCCTGACATGGGGAAATCACTCCTGACATAGGGAAATCAGCCCTAACATGGGGAAATCAGCCCTGTCATGTCACCCTTAAGACAGGGAAATCATCCCTGGAATGGCACTGCTGACACAGGGAAATCACTGCTGACACAGGGAAGTCATCCCTAGAATGTCACTCCTGACACAGGGCAATCACCCCTGAAATGTCACTGTTGACATGGTGAATCCACTCCTGAAATGTCACTGCAGACACAGGGAAATCCCTCCTGACACAAGGAAATCACTCCTGAAACATCACTCCTAACACAGGGAAATCTGAAATTAGGGTTAGGGATTAGGGGTTATGGTTTGGGAAGGAATTCCTGGCTGGGAGGGAGGTGAGGCCCTGGCACAGGGTGCCCAGAGAAGCTGTGGCTGCCCCTGGATCCCTGGGAGTGCCCAAGGCCAGGCTGGACAGGGCTTGGAGCAACGTGGGATAGTGGAAGGTGTCCCTGCCATGGCTGGAGTGGGACTGGATGAGCTTTAAACTCCTTTCCAACCCAAACCATTCTGGAATTCCATGAATCTATGACAGGAGAGCCAGGAGACAAGAAGGGACAGGAAGGGATAGAAAGGGACACACTCAGCAGCACCCACCTCCTCCATCCTCTTGCTGTAGGTGTCTTTGGCAGTGGCAACTGCTGCTAAATTGTTGGCTTCTGCTGTGGCCTGTGAGGGCAAAAGGGACACAAAATTTAGGTGCAGAAGGACAGGGTTAAGCTGTGCAAGTGCAGGACATGCATGTGGCACCCAGAATTAGCCCAGGGGCTCTCCCAGCCTCCAGATGATCCCAAAAAAGCTCATCCCATATTTACACATCGAAGAGCCTGCATGAAGAGAGGATTCCTTCCCTCCAAGCCAGAGCTATGAAAACTTTGGCTTCAGCTGTGGGAACCAGCAAGGAAAGAGATAAAAGGCTCAGCCACAAGTAAACAGCTCCAGCTGCCACCCCCAGCAAGGCTGGCTCCAGCAGCCACTTCTCCCATGTGTCACCTCCCTGTGTGGCCCCAAGGATGTCATTCACCTGCAGGGAATCATTCCAGCTGAGCTGGCTGCTGCTGTGTGCAGCCAGCAATTCCCCACACTCCATCCCAGGTGTGATTCCTCAGCCATGGCAGCCTCGTGATGCCAAGCTCTTCCCCTTGGGTGCTTTCACTGAGGCATTTGGAATAAAGTCCCAGCAGACCCACTGTGCTGCACAATTCCTGGGAATTAATGGCAATTCCAGTGCAGGAATTCCCACAGCTCCCCCTCACACATACCTGCAGCATCGATTTGGGGTGTGGCAACTCCTCCCCTTGGTAGATCTTTATGTATGCCTGGAAAAGAGCAGGGAAAAGGGAATTGTGTGGAATGCAGCACACAGGAGCAACACCAACCACCCCCACCCAGCTCCAGACAGGGTTTAGAAGCAGGGAAGAGAAGGATGCTCCAGCACAAGATGGCTTTGGTCAGAAAATGCCACTCCTTGGGTGGCCTGGGTCAGTCACTGGAGGCTCTCCCTCCTCCACTCACTCCCAGTATCCCTCCCAAAGGATCTGCACCTACCTCTGGCCTTTCCCTGGAGGAGAAGGAGCCAAGGTAGCCCTGGAGAGTAGGTGGGGAGAATTACTCACCAATGTCTCGCAAGGAAATGTCCCAGTAGCCATGACAACAAAAATAAGCTTTTTCCAAAGGCAATTGGAACAGAGCCCTCAGCTTATCCCCCTCTAGCCCTCCATTTTTCAGGGAAGAAAAACAGCTCCTCCCATTTTTTGGGCTCGCTGTGTGGTCAAATACACGACCATGAGGTGTTTGACCTCTGCTGCAGCGAGTCAGGACTGTCAGTGCTGCCCTGCCTGCTGCTGCTGCTTTCCCCTTTAGCTACAGCAAAATTCCACAGAGGAATAAATCCACTTTCTCTTAAATAAACACCTTAAAATACTCCACAAGGCCTCGACAGGTGATATGGTTTCCATTGATCTCCTTAACATCCAGGTTCTCGGGACTAAGAAGCCAAGGAATCAAAATCTTTAAGTTCTTGATGAATTCATCGTCTATTTCTGGAAAAAAAAAAAAATAAAAAGAAAAAAGAGGCATCAGAGTGTCCCAGAATAGTTTGGGTTGGAAGGGACATTAAAGACCATCATGTTCCAATCCCCTGCCATGGAAGGTTCTTCCCCCAGAGGGTGGAAGGAACAGGCTCCACAGGGAATGGGCACGGCCCCAAAGCTGCCCAGAGCTCCAGGAGGATTTGGACAAAACTCTCAGGGATGCACAGGATGGGATTTCTGGTGCTTCCATTAAATTAATCTGTATGGCACTGAAGGCAGAAGAAAACCAATGCAACAGCCAGGAATTTGGAAGGTAACAGAGAGCAGGGAAGATCCCTCACATTTCTTCCATCAGAGCACAAAAAGCTGAGTACAGCTCTGAGGCAACAAGATAATTGTGAAAATTGTGTCAAGAAGCTGCTGACAGCTCCTGTCTGCACACAGCACTTGTTCCATACTCCTCAGCACCTGGGATTAAGGGGGAGCTCCAGGGATCAGCTCAGTTTCCACCAGCACATCTCCCTCCCTGTCCCTCCTGCTTAGCGTGGAGTTTGCCAGGAGAGCAAGTCTGAGCCAGACAAAACCAGGGAAAAATTCACATCTTCGCTTGCTAATTTATTTTAAGTAGCTAATGGTCCACTTTATTGCTAAGATTGCAGCAGCCTGGAACCAGCCACACTGGTGAGGAGGTCACAACAAACACCTAAAAATATCCCCAGCACGTGGCTCCATTTGGGGTGGAGAATCTCACCACAGCTCTCTTCTCCTTTTTAACCTGCTGAACCAAGCCTGCCCTGTAGGGAAACCACGGATCAGATAAATCAGGCAGATTAAATATTCCCTGGAAAGCTTTTCAAAGTGAAATAACGTTCTGAGAGCTTGTGGAACCAGCCTTGCAGCAACCAGGCTCTGCCTGTGCAGGTGAGGCACAGGAATTTAACTTCACACCACATCCATAAACATCCAGTCTCATCCCTGCCCTTCCCAGTTTTCCTATCAGTGTCCTGGGTACTGCCAGCAGCTCTCAGGCCTCGTCAGCCTCCCACACCTTCTCCCCCTCCACGTCTGTCTGCTGCACTGGGAAGCAGCAGATGGGGGTGTGAACGTCACTGGGAGGAGGATCCAACTCCTGTCCCAGAAGTTTTTTCATGGAAAATACTTATGGGGGTTTCAGGAACAAGCAGGACAGTCTGCCAGGGCTTCTAAGGAATCAGAGTAGAAACCAGAGCTTTGCCTTTGTACCTTTCAGTTTTCCATCGAAATTGGGGTTGGTGGCGACTTTGAGGCCGGGGTGAGGTAAGAGGAAGCAGGAGATTTTGGTGAAGCAGGAATGGATGTGCTTCCTGACATTCTGCAGCTCTTCGTGCTGATTGCCTGACACCTGTGGAGACAATGAATCACAGAATTCCCTGAGCTGGAAATGCCCACAGGGATCATCCAGGGCAGCTCCAGGCCCTGCACAGACCCCCCAACAATCCCAGCCTGGCCATCCCTGGGAGAAGTGTCCAAATGCTCCTGGAGCTCTGGAGCCTTGGGAATGTCACCATTCCCTGGGGAGTGCCAGCACCCTCTGGGGGCAGAACCTTTCCCTGAAATCCAACCTGAACCTCTCCTGGCACAGCTCCAGCCATTCCCTCAGGTACTGGCAGTGGTCACCAGAGAGAAGAGCTCAGTGCTGCCCATCTACTTCCCACAGTTTGGGGTCAGAGTTTCCTTCTGACTGGAATATGGGATAAAGCTGGCAGGAGCACAGGATACTCCACACTGTGGATGAAAGGAACACAGGAGATTCCACAGGCATGAGGACAAAGAGAAGGAACTGGATTATCTCTGACCACATGCCCTGGAGCATGTTATTACCGTTTGGAAAATGCACATTTCCATGGATGACCAGAATACAAAAACATTTGGGATTTCCCACTAGGGCCTTCCTTGTCTCACATTTAATTAGGTCTCTCCACTACCAGATCACCCATGCATTTCCTGACTGATCCCAAGCAGCCCTTACCCATCATTTTTACTGTACAACTCCCTAATTACCAAAGCATCATTCCCAGTCTCTTGGGAATTTGCTGACTCCCACTGCTGTCCACTCTCCCAGAGAGTTCCAGAAGCCTGAGCATGCAAGGAAATTTCACCCTCCCCAAATTCCTCCTCTGTGATTTTAAGGCACTGACTGTGACCACAGCCAGCACTGCAGCTCACACCTGACATCCAGTGCTGATGCCACCCATCTGAACAGGAAAATCATGGAATCACAGAGTGGATTGGGTGGGAAAGGACCTTAAAGCTCATCCAGTTCCACCCCCTGCCATGGGCAAGGACATTTCCACTATCCAAGGTTGCTCCAGAAACAAGAGCAGGCAAAACATACCTTCAGCCTCTTCTCCAAAAATCTTGCACCACCATCAGATCCATAGGAAAATTCATAAGGGAAGCTCCAGTCACGAACAAGGAATATAAGGGACTGGAAAAAACACAACAGTGGGGTCAGTGAGCTGCTGCTCTGAGCCCACAGCAGTGGCTGAGCACCCTCTGCACCCTCACCCTCATTTCAAACCACGCCAAAACCTGGCCCCGAGCCTTTTCCCAGCTCCAGCAGCATCTCCCACCTTTCCTGGTGGAAATAAGAGGTCCCTGTGTGCAGGGACTGACACCACTCCACTGCCCCACAAGAAAAAGGGGGAGAACCCCCCAAAATACTGCACCAGTTTGAGTCCCTGGCTGGGAGAACAACATCAATCAGCTAAACTGCCCAAGAAAAGGGATTGTTGCTAACCAGGACAAAAGGCAGCAAAGCTCCCTAATTCCAGCCACATTTAGTTCCATCCTATGGGAATTCTACAGGCTCATTCTTTCAGCCTTTTTCACTGGGCAGCCTTCCAGACAGACTTTTCATGAGAAGCAGATGCAGAGGAATGAGGGTGAATAAGAAATCATTGGCTTTTGTAATCTTTATTGAGGCATTCAAAGTTCCTGGGCAGTAAATAAATAAATACCAGAACGGTCAACTTTGAATATTAAAAAAAAAAAATAAGTTTTCAGAAAAAAATCAGGTCTCCACTGCCTCATCTGTACAAGGGACCAACATCCCATGTAGGAAATAAAGGGTTTGGAGGGGGAAGTCCTGAATGCCAAAGCCCAGGAGGGTCTGGCAGAGGTGCCAGGGTTCCTCTCATGCACACAGATAAGCAAGTCAGCAAGTGGAACCTATTTCATTGGAATTTCCCTAAAATTCATCTATGCTTAGAACAAAAAAATCTAATGGAGGGAGGGGAAATATTCCTGCTATTTCTCTTCCATAAAACATCAGAAAAAGTTAAAAAAAAAGAGGAGAGAACAGTGAGTTGGCCTTTTTGAATTGCAGGAGAAGCCAGAGTGACTGCACTCAGTGAGCTGGTTCAGGACATGCTGTTCTCAAACACCACGAGATGCTTAAGAGACATGTCCATGTTTAGGACTTTTTCCACAAACATATTATGCATGCCTTGAATTAGGAATTATTCTTTTTTTCCTCAAGTAAAACTGTTGTTCCAGACAGGCTGTGTTTACCATTGCCTTTGTGAAGGCCCCACATTCAGGGCCAGCCTCTGGTGAGGGCTCCTCAGAGTAAGGAGAGGAGGGAGACAAAGGGAAATGAGGAGGGAGACAAAGGGGAAAGCCAAGCCTTCCCTTCCCTTCCCTTCCCTTCCCTCCCCT